CCCCCCAAAAACAAAACCCAAAAAACTCAGCTGCTTTAAACAGAAATTTGCCATAGCTCCAAAGAGGTCACAAAACCTTATGGTACAAATGTTAAAATAAAGGTTTCCACTAATTATAGACTTCCATCTTGTGTACTCTTCACCACCTGTGCTGAGTGGTGATTTAGCAGCGTTACCCATTACACAAGTAGAAGTGATTATACCAAGTGCAATATTAATAGAAAATCAATCTTATTTCAACACTGACATGCTTTGGTTCATGTACTGTTTGTTGGCCCATTTCAGTTCCTTTACAACTCCAACATTTCCTGTTAATACAAGCAGTAAATTCAATTTTCTTAACACAATTGCCCTCAGAGGCAACAGTTGAAGAGTGATGAGAGGCAGAGATGACTTCAGAACACAGCTTGGACACCCCTGTTTTAATCCTCATAAAAAAAATCTTATATTTCATTAAATCAATAACTCCTTCCATTTTTCTTGATATTTTAAAATACTGATTTATTAAACAAGAAGCAGCTTTTCCTGATGATTAGCCACCTTTTCTCTGTAAGAAGCTACCTTTTCTTTTCTCAATGGCAGAGAAACACCACACAATACTCATAATTCTCATAATGCTCTTACCTGCATCTGTTTCTTGAGTTCCCTAACGCAAACGCTGTCCTGAAGAGCACTCTCCCGCTGGGATGCATCAGCAAGGACGTTAACTGTAGTTTCTGCCTCTTGAAGCCACTTGAGGAAACCCTCTAGATCTTTGAGGGAGGCCTGCACTATCTTCAGTTCAGTCTCCAAGACACTCTGCCTATCAACAGCTCTGGAAGCAAAAAAGGAAGCAAATATCTCAGTTACTCCCCGCAACAGGACATACACTGTATGCATAACAAATGAAGCTACTGTAAAAGATTTGTTTCATTAAAGCAGTGAGAAAACTATGAAGTTTATTCCTGCTTGTTTCATTATTTTTCCCTAGAATGGCACATCTGTATCTATGCATGCATGTTCTGTACTGCAGACTACACATACCATTTAAGAATGCATGAAAGAATAGAAATTATCCACTAAAAACCAGTATTTCCCTCTACGTGTTAACATAATGAGCTTAGACTATCACAAGTGTGAGAAGCTCTTATTTCCACACTTCAAATGCTTTTCTCAGGGCCATTATCAAGAAACACCATCTGAAATGGAAACAGCAGCAAGAACAGAATGGAAGCAGTTTCCTAAAGTTGTGTACATTCTCCAAGTTACAGCGCAATGTAGTTGTTCTTTATTTGTTTGGAAGAATCAAATGATTTCCAGACTCTAACAAAACACAACTGTCCCAAATACAAAGTATACACTTTTAGGATCACAGCACTGATATTTGCATAGCTCACACTTGCTTTTGACAAGTTTACTGGATAAATTCCTACTTATGCTGCAAAACCATAAGCTGTTTATGATCTTTTTCCAGACACATGGTCTTATACTCAACACGGCCGCCTTTTCTTTAAAAAACAGTTAAGATAAAATCTGTAAAATGATACACAGATAAGCTTTTAGTGACCTAGGAATTAAATGCTATGCTTAACATTAGTGGGTTTTCCTCTCTGGCCACAGCCCAAATGAAATTATGTACAGTTTCAAGAGGATAATTCTAATAGGGGACCTGTTTCAACTCTGTGGCTATAAAGAACATTTCAGCAGTTAATTTTTTGGTAATCTTTTGACTATTTCTACTAGGCCAGTCAATAGACCCAGCAAACAGGAGCTCATAATTAGTGAGTAAAGAACATTTCAACATTCCAATTTCAAAGAAACACCTATCCAACTGAAATCACGCAAGAAAAAGCCCAAGTACTTTGCTGCCATTTGACAGACAGATCAAAAGGTCACATTTGGGAGGACTGGCTCAGGCCCATCTCTAATACAGCAAAAGATTTTGCCAGCTTCACTAAGTGAATAATACCTTTGTACCAAAACGTCAATGCAAGAAGTATGACAGTATCTGATTGTTACAGACAAAGGAATTCCAGTCAATGTACAAGATTTCCAAGTGTATAACCACACACACTTTTATGCCCTGATGCATACACTAAGGTGCTCTGGTGACATCGTAATAAATCACGAAGGATGTTTTGCAACCTTTGGAGGCTGCTGTATAGTTTTAAAGTTATTTTATTCATGGTTTTTCCACCAAAGAGCAAAATATAAACTCTATGGCCCCGTCTATGCATGCAAGTAAAGGCATGACTGGAGCTAATGCGTGATCCGCACAATAGTGCTTCCTGCCATGCCAAATGACGTGCCATTGTAGGATCACCCACACCCACAACTGGGACTGACAATTGCTGCACCATATGGGGCTCCTGGCTTCAACCCACCCATCAGGTGTGGGGATTCTTGGTCCTGGCTGCAGGTAGGGCACAGCTGGGACAGAGTCCCATCAACTGTAGGACTCTCAGCCCCCCATAGCCATGGGGCACTCCTGTGGTATGCCAGTCACAGTGGTGCATGGAATGCCCAATGGCTGGTAGATTGCCAGGAGTGCCCCTGCACCCCTGTAGCTGGGGGACTGAATTGGCTGCTCTCTCACAGGCCTGAGCCTGCGTTGTGTTCCCCAGAGCCTGGGAGATTGCAGCAGCTGCAGTCTTCCAGCTGCAGACTCCCCACAAATGCAAATTAAAGCTGTAGAGAGACCAGCTATAATGTTATTACGCGATTTTGAGCAATAACTTTATAGCTTGTTGGAATGTTAAGGCGTGATAGTTAATTTGTACATGTAGCCAGTCTGAATTTATTATGCAATAGATATAACATGTTAGAGGGGGATTATGCAATAGATATAACATGTTAGAGGGGGGCCTATGTGATGCAATTTATGTGTTATAGAAACGTAACATAAATACAAAATTGTTACGGTCAACATTAAATAGTCCTCTCTTAACTATTACCAAAGTTGCACATAGTACAACAAGAGGGTTTTTCCCCTAAAGCATCAAATTCAAACTAAGGTCAAAACATAGTTTCAATAACATGCTTTCTTTATATAGAACCTCTACTATAAGGAAACTATGCTGCCCTTTCAGTACACAGCGTCCATCCTGGAAGTCAGAACTAAACCAAGGCATCAGGCCAAAAGGTTTATTTTTTGAATTGCTGTTTTTTTCCAGATGAAGTGAAGCCAAGGTTTTCACCACCTGTCACTTTTTTAAGTACAGGGGCTTCTGTAAGTACAAGGTTGGTTGGTCAAAATCTAAACTTAGGCATACACATTCTTGCTTCCTTAGATTATTATATTTTAGAAGAATACTACTATTTATTTCCCTCTCCTCATACTGGGTCACGAAACATTGCTAAGCAGTTTTAAACAATCATCACACTTGAAACCAGAGAAGGTTGAATTTGAGGAATAGTTGAAAAGATCTTCAAAATCAAGCACCGCAATCAAGAAGTTGCAAGTGCACGCTTCCTTTCAGAATCAGTTCTGTAAATTAGTTTATTAGATCTCTGGAGGGGGAAAAAGCATCATAAAAAGCAAGGTATTTCCGTTCCAGCACAGCAAAAAAAAAATCTAATGCTGTTATTTAATAACTGTTTTGTCAGAAGTAATATTGTTTGCACACTCTTCATCTCTTGCATCTTCCAAGTTCCAGCTACTACCAATTACACTACTGACAGGGCAAGACTTCAATTCCTTGCTGCCTCAGGAGAAAATACGGCCGAATGTTCATCCTACTCGTCGAGAAATAATAATGGAATACTTATACAATGAATAAAGGTATCGTTTGATGAAAATATGGTGTAGAAATAATGGAAAGGAATTAAAGCAACCTAAGCTATATAAAAAAAGGGTAAGAATGAAAGGTCAAAAAAGTTTAGGAATTCTTACTTCAAAATCCTCTCCCTTTGTAAGGATTTTCTTCCCCCAGCAGGAAGGCAAAGCTAGAGGTGAAATGGCAGCAATGAAATTAGAAAGAACTGCCTGAAAAGAGTGATCTTCAGATGAGGATGAATAAAAACAACTAACTCAGATCTGTATATTTAAGCACTAGTATACTTGATGGAAGGATGAGATAATGGAATTAGGTATAAATTCTAGGTTAATTCAGGAATGATAGCTGCTGTACTAAGTTTTAATGTCTCAAACTTTCTGCTTGGCTGAAATTAAGGAACAGAATGCAATCTTATTATAGACTTATCACTTACATGCTATTTGAACTACAGCTGAAAAGTCCATTAAGTATGCTGTTTGTATTCCAGCAGCGTGAGTACTACCAAGAGATTTATGAGTGATGCTGCAGACTGTGGGGGCGTTTTAAAAGTAGGACTTGTGGCACTTTAATGGTGATCTACATTGCCTAAGAGGATACCCACATACTTTTGCTCCATTTCACCAGAAACCATCCATTCAAAACTGAGAAAAACAAGAATGCTATATGCCACACAGCAGCCAATGCAAGCACCAGCAAAGGGGAAAGGGAGCTCAATTCAGTGGCCATGGACTGAAAGAACTGAGGCTATGACAAGGGTCTTCAGCACTGTAAAACTAAAATCTCAAGTGCCTTCAGTCTTCCATAAAAATGTAGACAATGTCACTGAACTAAAGGAAAGCAGAAGAAAACTTGACAAGTTTATCAGTGAAGACATGCTGAAGAAAAACAACAGTGTAGACCCTTGCATGTACAAGTTCTTCCTAGCCCGATAACAATTTTAAATTCCATCCACTTGCTTTTCAGATGCAAACTAAAAATCTATACTCAGCAGTATGTACAAATGTGTATCTTAGAGAATAAGTAAAGGAGGAACATCTGGGATGCTGTATAACCCATTACTGAGGCAACAAAAATATTAACAAATGATCAGTTTCAGCCTTTAAATATGAAAATTAAACGCTAATAGCCACTGGACAGCATATTTAATTTATACCACATCAAACTGGAGAGCTAAGCATCATTAATGCCAATTGCTTTAAAATGAGGCTGTTTCAACTTTGAATTCCATCACTGGAGTTCTGTTTATAGCTTTATTGTGATGCTATTTAGAAGGGCAACTCTTCCAGCTGAAGTAACCAAATACTCCTCCTGAATGCTCCATGCATAGCTGTTGCCAGAACAAACAATCAAATGATTTAGAGTACAGATTTATGCTTATAACAAACAATAAAACCGAATGTTGTGTACCAAACAATCCCTCCTCCATCCAAATTCTGTAAGTGAAGTAAACTTTAAATTGTGAATCAGGACATCCTAGATTGCCAAACTTCACACAAATTCTGACTTCTATTTCTTTGCTTTCAAAGCAAATGTAAAACAATTTGGAAGGGGACATTCAGTGTTTTAGTGTGCTTATTTGATGCCACTTTAACGCTGCCTTTCTTGAAAGCATGTTTATTTCCATTCCTTCCTTTTTCTGTTTTAGGTTGGTAAGCCCCAGTCTGCCTCCCCAGTTAGTTCAGGTCCAGGAGTTCTCCCCTTAACAACCACCCATAATCAAAGTTGTAATTCATCTCTCCCCTGCTTCACATTGCAAAATATCTAGCCTTCTCAGGTGTTTTAAGACTATGTGATATATGAACAGTAACTATATGGAAAAAGAACAACTGCCAAGTGCTGTTGTAAGTTTTCTTTCCTGAGAGAATCAAAAGCTAATTCTTGTTTTACTCAAGACTACAGGTTCCCAGCAATGATCTACAGAGGCCTTCCCAATGGCCCACTGACAGCTGGACAGACATTGCATCTCCAGATAAAATACTTTGAAGCATGGAACTAGGATGCCACTAGAGTTTACTGTAAATGCTGATCTAGAAAAATTGCTTCCTCTACATGTGCCAAGGATTGTCAGAGGAATCCTGACCAGCAGAACTGCAGTGGGAACAGCTATGGGGATATTCTGGAGTGAGCGGATGCACAAGGAAATTAAGATGAAGACAAAGAAGCTCCAAGTCTGCTATGTTTAATTCTTTTTTTTTAAATAAAGACATGGTTTTGCACTTGCTGCCACAGGGATTATATGCAATCTTAAATCCTACATGACACAGAGACAGGAGCACAGCTCATTTTGGAGATGGCCTCAACACTACAAAGTAGTCCATACTATGAAAAAATAAAGGGAATTTCTACTGTAAGCTAAAGACTTTTCTCACAATATGGCCAGGAATTTTCAACACCAGGAAGGTTAGTGCCCATAATCCAATGATTTTCAATGGAATTTGAAACTCTTTTTTTTAAAAGCCCAGCCTGTATCAGAAGAAATATCTAAAAACAGGCTTAGTTTTGTTCTTTCAAAAACATCATGCAGGTTGAGCTACAAAGCATTTTATGTCATTTGTCATCTCTCAATGGAAATAACTATGAAATTATTTGTATACACTTCTTGCCACATCAAATGTACAAACTACAAAGGTAGACTTTTCCTCCAAGGAAGAGTAACAAAATTCTATATATTATTCCCTTAGTTACCTCTGAAACCCACTGCTTGCTACTGAAATATCCTCCCTCTCTCTCCCCAGGACATAATATCACTTGCACAAATTTCACTAGCCTAGTTTCTAACTTCCTCATTTCCCGCCCCCACCCCAGAAAACTTGCCTTGTTTTAAATTTAACCATTTAAATATATTTTTTAAATGATTTTCTACTTATAATAATGCTTCCCCCTGTGGATTCTCCCTTCAATAAATTATTGACTACAACCACGTACTGTCTTTTAAAGTTTTGGTATGCAGACATATGCCATTCTTGTATTAGTCATTTGCCAGCTACTAATAAAAGGGTTTGTGCATGGGCATTTGATTACCTTGGATACAACAGCATTATGCACACAAATACATGTGACCTGATATTAACTGAGAGGTTTTCGACAATATCAAGTAAATACATCTTGACTCATGAGTGCAACAAAGTAAATTTCAAATTGAGAATTTATAGTTCCTGTATTGCACACTAGATATTCAAGGTGAAGAAATTAAAAGGAACACAATGAGGATTTCAAAACATCATGGTAGCAAGTTAGAGAAAGGTTCTCCAGTATGAGGAACAACTTCAATGAATTTATCACATGCAGAAAGATACGGTGTCTATATGTGTGCTCCAACACATTCTAATCAGAACGTGTCAAAGCAGACTCAATTAATCGAGTGTGCTGCAGTGTGACCACGTGTATTCAATATCCCGCATTTCAAAATTTGCAGCGGGGGTGCTTTAACTAAAACTCATCAAATGAGCTTTAGTTAAAGTACCTCCATAGCCATTTTGAAATTTGGGATGCTGCATACATGCAACACTGAGCATTTTAATTAGAACAGCATGTCCCGGAGCCATGCTCTATTAAGACACCCCCCCCACCCCCGAGTGCAAACACCCATAGTGCTGAACATGCACAGCCTTTGAAAAAGAAGACATAAGAACAGCTGTGTGACTGAAGAAAAGAAAAAAAAAACCCTGTGACTCAACACCTGATTTTATTTTTTTTTTTATTCTGAACAAGAAGACTGAAAAGTTTGTAGAAATCTTCCAGGGTCAGGTGTGGGAGCTCCACCATTAAATGTATTAAAAATCAGACTCTCTATGATATTTGTGACATGCCCCAGAGAGGGCATGGCATTAGTTAACATATGGAGCACTTTAATGACTATGATTTGACATCCTATGTTTAATCTATTTAAAATAGTAGGATCTAGATTTACTATGTACAGCCTATATTCTCAGCAGAGGCTTGCAGTTACCTTTGATTCAGGTTTATCCAAGAGGTATTCAGATGGTCAGTTATTTCCTTTACTTTCCTTGTGTCATCGTCACGGTACTCCCGGAGAAGTTTATTGGACAGATCATTGAATGCAGCCACCGTGATGTCCCCTTTATGCAAATCTTGAATTAAGAGCTAGGAGCAATTTCAAACAAACAAAAAAGGGCATCAGAGCAACATTAAGAGCAAAAGGTTTATTCCTTAGACCTTGAATGTTTTTAAATGATCATAAACACCTTTTTTTAAGAAGTGTGTACATGTGTACTTCTTGTCTTTGGTAAATGCCCTAACATGGAAGCACCCTAAATTCCAAGGGAAACTAACAACAACAACAACACATTCAAAACAGAAATGGAGAAGGAAAAAAAATATTTGCCAAGAGAACCATATTATTCCTTTCAACATTTTGTGACCCCATCTGTGGTAAGTACAGCACACCATAAAAAGAAAATGTGAACGTCACAGCAAGAGCATTTTAAACAAAATTCCAAATAAAAACTCTAAATTAGCATAAGACAAGTGTTTCCCACTTTTAAAATATGAGGGATCAGATCATATTTGTGAAAATGCTTTTTCATAGGGAATACTAACCACACTCGCTAAATTAACAGATGAGTATTATTTTTATACACACACACATATAAATACAAAGATAGATACATACATACACATATATACATACACACATCCATATATAAACACACATACACACTCTCACATATATACACACACACACACCATACACACTACACACACACCACACACAATATATACGCATACACAATATATACACAATATATACACATACACACACACATTATACACACACACACACACACACACACACACACACACACACACACACACACACACCCCAGTTTGAAAATAAGCAGGAAGGTACACTATTACTGATGGCCCTTCATTTTCTGACAGCCAGAAAGACCATGCACAAATGGTTGTTTAACAAAACCTCACATATTTGAATGATTCTGTGACTATGCATTTTGGCCTCCCTGTTCCCTGCCCTCCTCATCAAATTCTTTACTTCACTTCTTTATTTAAAACTATATCCCACCTTTGTTTTCACTTTACTGTCCCTCAGGAGAAACAAGAGTAGCAAAGTGCCACCTCAACTTTGATCTTGTTCATATTCTCCCCTGCTGGCCCCCAGCCCAATATATCCTTCCCTATGTCAGGGGGACATGATACACCTAGAATCTTCCTAATCCTCTGAATAAGGAAGTCAATCCAGGGTCAGGTAGACTCAGGAATTTACTTTAACAAATTTGGTGGTATATCAAAAGCACAGAAATCTGACAAGGGTTGGAGAATATTTTTTTTTCAAAGAGGTCTATTATAATAAACCTTGAAAGGTCTGGTATCAGTTGGCCTATGTCTATAATTACTGCAGATATCTCCAGTAGTGTTAATAAGCTGCTGTAAAGTAATGAGCACCATCTTCTTCTTCAGCAGTCCCTCGCAGTTGAGGATGATTGTCTTCCATCAGTCCAGCTATGGCTGATGAGGCCAATTCAGAATCAACAGACTCTGCTGCAACTTGGGCACATGTTTCCATGTGGGATGGGTGGCTCTGGATTCTTGATTCAGTCTGTGACATACAGTTTCTGCCACTCCTGCTTTTCCATCTCCTGTTGTCATCATAAGGTTTCAAAGTACTGAGAATCTTGCAGCAGACGCTTCCTCTACTTGGGGCAGTCCTGAGCAGGTGAGTCTTGTGACAATGTCAATATTGCATTTTTTCAAGTTGGCCTCCAATACATCCTTGAAATACTTTCTCTGCCCTCCTCTTGAGCATACACCTTGACTGAGATGGGAAAATAGAACTTGTTTCTGGAGTCTGAAGTTGGACATCCAGATGACATGGCTGGCCCAGTTAAGTTGATGTCAGATGATCAGTGCCTTGATGCTCATGGCGTTTGCTTGTGAGAGGATGCTAATGTTGGTGCATCTGTGTTCCCAAGGATCTTCTGCAGGCAGCCCAGCAACTTGAGGTGTCCCCTCTACACTGTCCACGTCTCAGCTCTGTACAGTAAGGTGGGGATCACAGCTGCTTGATAAACCATGAGCTTGTTTTCGGATCCAATATCACAATCTTCAAATACCTATTTCCTCAGGCATCGGAAGGCTGCACTTGCACATCTGAGGTGATACTGAATTTCTTCATCCATGTCAGCCTTCTGCAAGAGATGGCCCCTGAGGTATGGGAAATCCTCAACTTTCTCATCATGAATCTGAATTACTTGAGCTGGGGACTGTACATTAAGAGCTAGTTGACCTTAGTCTTCTGAATGTTAAGCGTCAGTCCCATTTTCTTTTATGCCTTAGTAAACACATAGATAATTCCCTGAAGGTCTGCTTCTGAGTGAACACACACTACAGTATCAGCAGCATACTGGAGCTCAATGATTTAGGTCTGGGTGGTCTTGGTTTTGGCTTGGCATCATCTGAGATTAAACAGCATACCACCCATTCAGCAGTTTAGTTCCATTCCAACTGGAAGCTAGTTGGTGGTCAGATACAGCATCACAGTACAGAATATTGAGAAAAGCGTTGAACTGATGACAGACTTGCTCATCTCCAGTTGTAACCTCAAATGGATCTGTGATAGGTCCATTATTGTGATCTACTACTCACATACCATCATGGAGCAGGCAAAAAATGATGATGTGCACCATGATCAGTGACTGTATGATAGCGTGTATCATCACAGTACAAATCCTGTGCTTAATGAAATGTATTTGGTCCCAGGAGATATTTATCAACGGCAGTATTTAGTGAATATGATAAACGTATCTATTGTAAAAATGCACATGCTCAAATCTTAAAAACTTTCTGCTCTCCTCCTCAAAGAAGATTTTCACAGATTTTTGATGAATGAAAATAAACATGTCATTCTAGAACAAAATAGGCATAGACAGTGAACCTCAAAAAGCCACATAGTCTAAGGATCCAGAGAGCATGTATGAAATCTTACTTTGTTTTCAGAAATCTGTTTGATGAGTGGCTCTTTAGGGGCCTGTAGAAGCATGTGCAGACGAATCTCAGATTGTCCCATGAGATGCTCCATTTCCTGCCTCTGCACATCCCACTGCAAGCTGTCAGAGAGCATGTGTTTTAGCTGCTGCTGCCGTACCTCCACACCATGCTGAGTATTGTCCCACTGGTTCTTGACTTTCTCCACTGCAGAGAACGATGCAGAAAGTTATAACCACAAGTTAGCATGTACTGATCAGGACTTCTATATTGATTACTTCCCCCCAGAAATCCAGCACATCGTCCAGTCATGGAGAACAATTGTGAACAGGCCTTCAAAAGTTTTTTTTTTCAAAATGTGTGTCTATGAAAGCAGTTCATCATACTTTAATTACAAAGACATACGAAAGACAAAGCTTTGACAATTTGGGGTTAAGGTGATATCTAGTACATTTTTTACTACAGCTAATATGAGCAAACTGTCCTCATGTGGAAGCTCTTTAATGCCTTGTGAAAGCAACTTTATTGATATAGCTTGTACTACTTCTTCCTCCAAGTGCAGTAAGCCTACTGACACAACCACAGCTGTGCCAGTATAGCTCCATTTATACTACCACTTCTGCCAACACAGAAATATTGCCCCTTTCCCCATATCACCCGCTCCCTTACACCACTATGTCCACAAATAATTCCTTCTGTAGCCCTATCTTTATCTTAAGTCATTTTTTAAAAAAATCCAATTATTACAATTCGTTTTATTCAAATGTCACCTGCACACAAGCTTTCATGAAGATTTAAGTTTGTGGAAAGTCTGATGAGATAGGATAGAAAACAGGAAATTTCTGTAATACTTTTATGAAAAAATGCATGACTTTGTTTCTCTTATTTATTCATATTATGACCTACTAGGAATGAAAGGATTAATTCCTTCTCTGTAGCAAGGAAATGAGGATGGTCATGTGGATGTGCCTGATATGGAGGACTTTCAGAAACTGCAAGAGGGGAATGGAATTACCTTGAAGACACTCTGAAAGAAACCAGACATTAAATTGTAATAACTACCAGCCAAGTGAGGCAGCACATGTCTCCAGAGCTTGAGACAAAGAACAGAGGTGTCATGAAACAGAAAATAAGAACTCTGCTGTCAGGTGCACAAAAAAAAGAAGACAGAGGTAATACTACCAGTGTAGACATGCAGGTCAGCTTTGGTTTTCAATTCAAAACCAAGCACTACAAACTACTAAATTCTAGCAGTCTAGTAACAGCTGCCTTATTTTAAAAGGTTATTGCTAGCTTGCAGCAACATAAGTTGGTTGTATAGCTCCCACTGAAGTAAAGTCTCCACCAGGACTTAAAATTCTTTTGGAATCACTGAAATAAACAAAATGAAAGTGGGGGAGATCGTCAAAAGGAAACTGGACACACACCTTGTTGGGGTTATTTGACCCAGCAGTCTTTCCTGCCCAGAGCAGGAGGGCTAGACCCAAAGATCTCACAAGGTCCCTTCCAGCCCTAAACTCCTGTGAATCTGTGCGAAGAAGGTGTTCCACACCTTAGACTAGCAGAGGCACAGGAATCCTTGTTCCTAAAAAAGGAGGCCTAGGAGCTGGTGCTACAAGTACATTTCCATTTGGTGAAAGACACACGCTCTCCCTGCAGATCTGTGACAAGCCATTTCATAACAGGTATTAAAGATAACAAAATCTAAGAAATTATAGGAAAGAAGGGCTGGTGGGGACATCTCAAGGTCATTTAACCTAGCCCCTTTCAGGAAGAATCATCCCTGACTAAACCACCCCAGCCAAGTGTCTATCCAACCTGCTCTTTAAAACTTCCAACAGTAGAGATTCCATATTTTCTCTAGGTATCCTGTTCCAATGCTTGACCACCCTCTTAATCAGAAATTTCCTCTTACTAATCATCAACCTAAATCTCCGCTGCCACAGCTTAAGGCCATTGCATCTAGCCTTGTCCCTGGCCAAAGAGAAAAGCCTATCTCCATTCAGGTGTTTAAAGATAGTTATCAAATTCCCCCTCAGCCCTCTCTTCTCCAAACTAAATAACTAGTTATTGGTTCTTTTAGCCTTTCCTCATAAAATAAGTCAGCCTTTCATAAGTGCAATTACTAAATTACCTGTTATTCATGACGTTTACTAATAAGAAACCCATCTCTCCAGGAAAAATTCCATCCTGCTGTACTTATTCACCCAAATCCAGCACATAATACATACGTAACTCATTTTTATTAGCCAGTGATATAAATAATGCCTAGTTTAATCACAGACATATTGCACCACTGATTTTTTAATTAGAATTTTTCAATTAAATTACCAAAAAAAATGTATTCCTGATGGTGAGATGGGCCCAAGTTATCTGTCTGCATGAGACATGCTTTCTTTATTATTTTTTAAATAAAAGGTCTTCCAAACAGCTTAGGGCTGTTTGTGAATTCTAAATGATATGTTAATTCTATTGTGTCCCCTGCCACTTTCCTCTGATACTCAAAAGCGTGGCTACTTTCATCGATTTTAGTGATTACATTTGTTCTATTATAAATCACTGTCATGTGCACATCCCAAGTATGGCTTTTATAGGAAGGATTCTCACTTAAGATAATAGTACCTCATGGACACACGACAGTTTAAGGAAATAAACATTACACTTGTTCCTTTTCCAATTCTAATACTATTTATCTTAGTTACCTGTAAGACTACTACAAGCTCAGCATCTGAGCACCCTGTAACCTTTAATGTCTTTCCTCATAAAACTCATGTCTTCATTTCATTTTCCACAGATCAGAATAACTTAAATGCAACAAAAATAGTAAATAGTAATACTCGATGTGCTTGGTGCTCATTTGTCTCTCTATCAACTCCAGAGAAGTTTAGTCTAGTTTATAAAGACAGTAGGCTTAGAATAAGACATTAAAAGCAGAAAATGGGGGGGAAAGGGAATGATGTAAGCTAACAACACTTAAGCAAATAGTTCAAAGACTTTTTGCACCTCTCTGTGAGGATCTCTTTGCAGGTATCAAGCCCCTACACATTCAGGGTTCACAGTTCTCTCACTGAAGTGAGAGTCATCAACTTCAGCCCAAATGGAGCTTCAGGATGATTTCTGGACTGATTTGGGTTGTGCTGGGATGAACACAGAGCTCAAGTAACACCCCCAAAAATTTTATATTGGATAAATGTTAGGTTCAGATGAGACCAGCAGTTGCAGGAACAGATTAGTAATTTTACTGAAACAGCAAAAGAAAAACAGCAAGAGTGAAAATGGTTCAACATTCAGTGCTGATTAATGAACAGTAGAGGGGAACCTTAAAAGTGTTCAGGTCTACTGCACAGCTGGATGGGGAAAAAAATCTATCTACAGTAACTGTTTGTTTAAAGCAAACTACCATCTATGATGTTTCTCTGACATTTTGTTATTATGCAGAAGAAGTATCTTCACATAGCAGGGAAAGCTGTCAATAACCCCAGGCTAATACTTAAGGCAAACACAGCTTGAAAGAAATTCTACCAAGAAGAAAATTTTGGGTGCTTAGAAAACTCAAAATGGGCTCTCCAAGTTACCTTTAGAAAGGGATGCCAGAAGAAGAAAGGCAGGGGTAAGTTTCTTCTTCCTGTACTTCCATGACCCTAGGACTCGGAGACCAGGCCTCATCTTCTAACTAAGTCAAAGCTGGTCTCTAAAAGGTCCCTCAGTTCATAGAAGGACATAAAAAAAAAAGCTGTGTTTCTTCAATGGCAGAAGTTTTAAAATCCCTTCACTTCTCCAGGACACATTCAACACAGGAGCTGCCAAGGGCCTTCACAGAGTACGCTTCAGTCATGGAAGACTCTCCAAGAACCATGGCAAGTCCTTTAGAAATACCACATGGAAATAGAGCTGGAGGTAGAGGAGAACTAACCTGTAAACCAAAGAGTTAGGGAGCACAGAGCTTTCCTGAAATCTACAAGTTTCCCTAGCCTCAATTTTCCTCTAGCTTCCAATCTCTAGAATATCTTTTTTTAAACCTTAGTGATATACAGAATTTAGGAGTTCCCTGCTGAAGCCTGTCAAATCCTTAAAAAAAAAAAACCCTAAACTTTTTTCCTTTTCCAAAAGGGAAATGCAATAATTAAGCTGAAAATTAAATTTGAAAGTGCACGCCAGTAACTTAATAGGGTAAAAACTTCAGTCAATGGTCTTTTTAAATGTCTTTCTAAAGTTAACTTTTATTGGACCACCTGCATAGTTGGGATAAACATAGGCAAACTTTCAGGTATCCCAGTAACCTTCCCCAGATAAACTGTTTTGTTTACCTATGGAGTCTTACATAAGCTTTTGTTCCAGCTTCTACTTAGCTCAGCTATTCTCTATTTCTCTCCTGGAGGCCGGAGGATACCCAAGAGCTTGCCTCCGTCTATCCCAACCATACGCTTGGTCCAATAAAAGATATTACCCACAAAAACTTTTCCTTCTCTCATATCTCCTGGACCATCCAAGTAACAACATCACCGCAACACTTTCTAAACTTGTCACCTAAACTCATATACCTTTTTTTATTTTTTATAAATGGATCAGCAAATAGCATCGCCAAAATAAGTTTAAACTATGTTTGTTTGTGTCATTAAACAGAAAATGCAGGAAGGATTTTGCAAGCGGTTCTTAAACATTTCATAAGACATTCTATACTGACCTAGCCCAAAATACACATCCTGCACTTCAGAAATGGGCAAACCATTTGTTGGGAGGGGATGTGGAGAGGTGGGGAGAAGTAGGGGACAGAGTTGGTTTCTAATTAACTGGAAAACTAAAATTCACTTGACTAAGTGTTCTTTGTGCCGCACTTCAAGAAGGATATGGAGAAGCTTGAGAGAATCAAAAGGAGGGCCACATGCATGATTAGAGCAGTAGAGACCCGGTCATGTGAGGAGAGGCTGAAAGACTTGAGACTGTTGAGCCTGGAGAACAGAAGACTCATAGGCGATTTGGTGGCAGCCTATAAGTATATTAGGGGAGTACATCAGGGCTTGGGGGAGCATCTATTCACTAAGGCCCCCCAGGGGAGGACAAGAAATAATGGGCACAAACTGATTGAGGATCACACCAGACCAGACATAATGAAAAACTTCTTTACAAGTCAAGTGCCGAGGGTTTGGAACAGGCTCCCCCAGAGGTGGTACAGTCATCCACCCTGGTGATCTTCAAAAAATGTCTTGATGCCCATCTTGCTGGGGTCATCTGATTCCAGAAAGTCTTTCCTGCTCAGTGCAGGGGGGCTGGACCCAAAGATCTGTAAGGTGCCTTCCAGACCCTAACAACTATGAAACTATAAGCTTGCTGCAACGGGGCTCAATAATCATAGTTTTCCAGGAAAAAAACAGTTCGATTTTCTACAAACAAAAAAAAAAAAGTATATATGCAAAAAATGAAAAAAAAAAAACTTACATTTTTCTGTGATTGCTGTCCTGACATCTGAACTAGAAGTCTTATTTTTCAAATTCTGAGCCAAAGTAAAAACAGAATCAAGCTGTGGGTGGCGCTGGTCTAAGTCCTCCTTTGTTATCTGTTTAAAATCAAGTATAAGTTGCAATTTTATTATTTATTTTATTAAAAATGCAAAGGTTAACATTTTCTTGATTATGTGCAGTTAAAAACTAATATTTGTGCACTCATAGGTAGATTGCTGTTTCCATGACTATTTTAGAGCTGCAATACTTGCAGGGACACTTAACAAAAACCCAACATGAATATTCTGAATGGTTGCGAATGGTTATTACTGCAGATTCAGAAAACCAAATGAATCTGTGTGAACTACATATTAATGGGAACTGCTGTACAAAGTTTTCCACTTCCAATATTCTCTTTCCTACATTATTTTCTTATTAGAAAGCTTAATGAGACCATTGCTAAGTTCTGAACATTACTAAAGGGGGAAGAAAATCAGCCAAATAAATGCAATCAACAGTGTCTTGTATTCAAAATGGGAATATTACATAACTAGATGAAAGTATTATCTAATTACTATAACCACATGCTATGAATGTTATGAAGTAAAAAGAAATCTAAGCTTCTCCAAAGCCTGTGAACATGCAATTCTTCTTCCCTTGGACCAAAGTCTGGTAGGTAATGTCAGAATACAGTTCCTTGTCTAGACAACAGCTTTAGACCACATTGTAACTCGTGTCAAATGACTCCCAATTATAGCAAATAAATGGATTGTAAATGCTACTATAAATGCTCACAAATGTCTGTTGCCAGTTACAGCGAAGCCCCTAGTAGGCTATTATCAGAAACAAACTTTATGATAGTCTACATTGTGATAGTTGATGTTAGCGATTACAGTAATTACTCATGCTATTTGGAAATCAATTAACCCAAGTTACAAACAAAAGCTACAGCTTAGAAACTTACAGTATAATCCACATGTACCCAACTTTAAACTGATTAGAAATGGATATCCCATCTTCCAGTATAAGCTATACACACAAAAAAGGATGATTTCTAACAATCCCACAGAGATACATTTTATATACAGGAGTTCCTCTTCATATCATTGGATGTAGACCTCAAAATTGCATAGACCCAAGTCTGTATAGAAATGTAAAACTAGGGCAGGGGTTGGGAATATTTTTGGGCAAAGTGCCAAAAACACCCACAACCTTGACTTCTAAAATGTTGGCATGCTGGGGCGGACAGTGGAGGGAGCCACAAGGAGCCTGATCCTTGTTGTGGCAGCGCAACTCCAGCCCCTTTGCATGCCATCCTCTCTCATGCATGCTGGGGTGGCCTACCCTTGGCCTAGGGCTTAACAAACGTGGGGATGATAGGTGGAAGGAGGACCACAATAACTTTTATCGACCTTGTGTAATTTTAAAGCAGTCTCATTTCTCAAATAGCAGTCTTTTTAAATTGTGTGCTGCCTTCTGTAAGAGACAATGATTCTCCTTTTGTTTTCTCCCACAGAATGTAAGAATTTAAAAGAGGAAGAACAAGACAAAAATTATGGGTTGCTGCGGGTTTTTAAAATCACTAGCCATCCCAGTGACACATACTTTCATACGAGCAACAGTCCGACTGATCTCTTCAGCATTTCCCACGGTGACTATGTTTGACTTGAGCATCTGGTCAATCAATACCAACCAGTCAGCCAGTTCGGTTGTAGTTTTATCCAGGTCAGCAGGGGTAGAAAGTTCCAAAGCCTGCTGAGTTTGAACACGGATTTCTGAGCTAGATGATACTAGCACCACCTTTTGGACATCTGAAACAATAAAGTAAGTCAGCATTTTAGCAATATATTTTCATTTAATATTAAAAACATTCAAATCCAAAAAGGGCCCTTAGTGATGCAGTAACATGGCATATGCTGCAATGTCTGTAAATTAATGACAATATCATTGAATCATGGAAAAGTAAGTCTGGAAAGGATCTCTGAAAGTCACCAAGCAGAACCCCTTGCCTGAGGCAGGATCATCCCTATCCAAACCATCCCAAACAAATCCTGGCCTAACCTATTACTAAAACTACCGTCAGCCTTGCCACACAACTACAAGACAAAGTCCCCCTACCTTGCTACAAGTAAAGCAGGAAGACAATAGCAGCCAGCATCCTGTTGATGCAAGGGTTGTTAAAATATATTCAAGAGATCCAAGGAAGAGGGCCATGTCCCTTGCTACAGAGAAAAGCAAAAGCCCCGCAATCCTTACCAATCCAACCACTGGGTAGAATACTCCTTCCTGACCCTAAAAAGGACTATTGTTCTCACCTTGAGTGGAGGAGTTGAGACAGAGCATCACATCAATAACGTTTAAGACAATTTGACAGCTACATAATAAATCCCCAGAGAAAACAAAATACACATCATTATTTAATTTTGTACCGGTAGAGTCAAGCAATGTTCACATTCATTACAAAATAAACACAGGCTTCCAAAGAAGGAAACGTTGTGAAGATGAAACATGAATCATGATTTCTAGACGTATCATAACTTGCAGAAGTTAAAAAAATTCAAATCTAAAGGAGCAGGGACACAGCTTCCTCAGCCCATTTGCTCTGACTGGAAGCTGTTTGGGGCAAGAACTGTCCTTTTCATTCAGTGTCTGCATGGTTTCTAGTACAGTAGGGCCGTAGTCCATGATGGGCTGTGCCAGATACGACCACAATATTAATAGTAGGCAGGCAATACTGCACCCTCAGGAGCAATAAAGAAAACCCTGTATCTTCTCTCAGAATAAGCTTGTGCATTCTCAACAACATGAAAGCAACACCAAGCCCAATGATGTAAAACTCTTCATATTATAATATGCACTTCATCTAAATTAATAAAAAGAAAGTGTGTATGGCAAATAGGATTAAACTGAAATGAACCAGACATGACTCAGCAGTAGATTTCCCATTCAGTACTCACCAGAAGGCTTTGTTTGTGTTACAAAACAAGGCTGCTCAACATATACCTCTAGTTCTCTTACTCTGTCGGGTACCTCTTTGAACACCTACACCACAGCATGCAAGCAGAAAAAAAGGTAAGGAAACCTACTTTTCTAATGGCAAGAAAGAAACACTTATAAATACAAAGAGAAGCTGATCACAAAATATAGAAAAATATTAACAGTGTGTTCACAGTGACACATTTCCTTACACAGCACATAAACCTAATATTTAATCATCATAATGAATGTTGCCCTGTACCCTTCCCCATACCCTTTTCTATACACATCTTATTTAAGTCTTTTTTTCATCCAGACAGACTTTAAGACAGGAGACATACAATACTGTCCATTCTGTTCTATGTACCACAGCAGCGATTCATTAAGCCACTAGGTTCAGGCACTAGAAGAGGCAAATAATATGGTCCAAAATAGCAAGCTGAGAGATAGTTTTCTACATTTTAAATCCCCTGTTTCCCAGTAGTTACTGGGGACAAACAAATTTGATTAAACTCTCATTTTGAAAAGAGGGTGGTGGGGATGGGTGAATGGAGCAAATGAGAAATAGACATATTTTATTCACACTTTCATCCCCTGGCTGTGAAGTCCCTCTTCCTCTTAGCTTACCCTTGAGGAAGGGCACTTGATGCCTGAAAGGCTGTTCAACAGCTTTACCAACTATATAGTTGGTCCAATAAACGATATCACAAAAATCCTTGCCTCTTATATACTTCCTGGAACATCAAACATACAACAATACCCCACAACCCCTTTTCCCCCTAGTAAATACATAGCTCCCCCGACCCATCCAAAACTGTCTCAAACTACCAAAACTTAGACAAATTTTTTAAAAAGTTTCATTTTGAAAATCTGTGTCTAACTGAAACTTTATAGCTTGTTCTAAGCAGCATCAATCTAATGCTTTAAAAAAAAAAATCATTCCAATCCAAAAGATACAAATGAGAAGAGACCTTATATCAGTGGAACATTTTTTAGTTGGCAAACACAGAAGATAAGTTATTTTATTTAGTGAGGGATTAAACATTCCTTCAATGTGAATCTACAACAGGGGTGGCAAAATGAAGTCCATGGAATAGATACAACCTGCCCAGGGATTTTATCTGCCCCACAGTGGATCCTGTGGTCCAGGCACATGGGCAGCCTCGGCCATTAGCATGCAGATAGTTCTGCCACCCCCAGGCATGCGGATGGGCTGGGACTATGTGGCAGCTGGACTCTGCTTGCCAGCAGTGGCAGCTCCTTCTGGCTGCCACTGACATTGTTGCCACCGCTGCCCAGACACCCAGGACTATCTGCCCTGCAGAGCAAGCAGGGTCTCATCAGCTGCGGCTGCGGGCAGGAGGGGTGTGGCATCTGGGAGCGGGGTGGGTGAGTGGGGCCAGGATCATGGGGAAGTAAAAGCATGGGCTTGGAGCCTGGGCTAGAGCCATGATCCACTACCTGCATTTCCCTGCAAGAGGTGCCAGTCCCACATGTAGGGACAGGCCAGGAGCAGATGATGGATCTGCCCCAGGCTGGTCTTCATGGAGACCCTGGAACCAGGGCCAGGTCAGGGATTGCCATGCAGGGCCAGGGACCAAGGAAGAGCCACTTAGGGAGTTCTGTTGAGCTGCTGCAGGCCAGGGGGTGGGGAGGAAAGTAGGTTACTGGCCCAGCCTGCAACTGTTCACCAAAACTCCCCAAGTGGCCCTGTGGCCCAAATAATTACCCACCCCTGATCTATATCTTCTAAAACTTTCAAGAGTATGATGGAGGACAGCCCTCTGTTTACATATATTGTGATGTATGCAGATGACAATTAATAAATGAACCAAGACTGCATACCTTGTTCCACTTGACATTGAGAGTCCTCAAACAGTCAGAAATTCTGTCCTTTTCCTGAGGAGCAATGTTTTTATCAGAAAGCAGTTCAGGTTCAGTTATGTTCAACAATTTCAGTTTCTCCCCCTGTACTTCCATCTCTTCACTTACACTCTAAGGAAAACAGGAGAAAGCTTTTAGTCTGAAGATACTCGCACACAAATACACAAACACAAAGATAACACAAATTATTTTAAATTAAGCATTTGACATTTGGAAGGTTTGCAGAAAAAATAAACACAAACCAGCAGATATACTAGAAATATAATAATGCCCCAAACTAGAGGTGCACTGTGATCAGATTGGCACCAATAAAACAAAAATGAACATTATTGGCAATTGGCTTTTTTTGGCTAGTATAACCGATAATGTCACCGATAAATGCTGCATGCCTGTGCAGAGCCACAGCATGCACATACATAGCCAGGAATGCAGCCCAGCAGCATGGAGAGCAGCATCTGGCTGGTAAATCTGTACGGGCGGGGGACGGAGCGAGGAGAAGGAAGAGAGGTAGGGGAGGCAGATGGAGGCTCCCCACAATGAGTTGCGGGGGGAGGGGGGAAGGGGGAGTGGAGCATGGGCAAGTGCTGCCCACCCAGGGCAGTGAATGCAGCCCCACCAGTGCAGCCACAGGCAGCTCATCCCAGGGGCACAGGGAAGGTGGGAGGAGTGGTTCCCCATCACTGTGTGCACCCACAGGCAAGGCATGTGCACCCAGATGTGTGTGCAGGGTGAAGGCGGGCTGCCTGCTGTAGGCTTGGGGCCAGGGGCTGCACCAGCCTCTTCCCAGTTGGAAGGCTTGGCTGGGGCTATGCTTGGATGGGCGGAGGCAGTATTGGCCAAAAAAAATCTTTATCAGTGCACCCCTACCCCAAACATGTTAAAACATTCAGAAATAGTTAAATACTTTATTTAACTAACAGAGTTTACTTTCCACCTGTAGTAAAAACATAAGAAGTGCCACACTGGGTCAGACCAATGATCCACCTAGCCTAGTATCCTGTCTCTGAGAGTGACACAAATGGATGCTAGAGGGAGAGCACTGAACAAGACAGATTTAGAGTGATATATCCCCTACCCATTATCTTCCCTGGCATCTACCATATTGGTTTAGAGATACAAATATTAGAAGAACCAAAAGTGAAATAGAGTAAGCAATTTTTTATTTATTTATTTTTACTTGTATATGTTACTTATCAAAGAAATTAAGTCCTTGCCCTTGTTTATCTCTGGGTGTACTTAACATGCAAACTGCAATGAACTGATTACCTGCCTCAGCTGATTAGTCTGTTAAAACTAGAGGTAGATTTCAAACATTAAAAGAATTAAGACTGTCACGAAATAAACTTCACTCAAGCACAGAGGAGCTCCCACAGGGAACTTACTACAAAACAATTGCTCTGCTCTCCACCCACCTTTTTCTTTCATTTTAATATGGAGGGCTGCCCTTAATGAATGGATATGAGAATAATACGGTACAAAACTTCCTGGGCTGCTTATGATCCCTGAATCTGCCCCTTGTCCATTATTACTTTTGTTAATGTTATGTTCCAAGACACATCCAAACAAGTAATTCGTCTGGACAGTCCTCACTTAGTTCAGAAGATTTATGCAGGGGGTTAACTGTCTACAAGAACAGGGCCTTACGTTGCAGGATCTCAGGAATAGGAACTATATCATTTGTCTTTAAATCATCAAGCAAAACTAAATAAATAAAAGTAAGTATACACTCATTTAATCATCTAGACTTTAATGTCAACAGCCATTACCAGACTACCACTCCAGAGCAGCTGAGTTTCTGTAATAAGAATTAATAATAATTTCCCCATTCTCCCCAACTACCAGGGGGACGTAAGACAACTCATCAGAAAACAAAAAGGAGATCATGACACAATACTCATTGTATAGAGGTACTTTACTTGACTATTCAATTATTTTACCAGAAAAAAGTATTTTAGAGTGTATTAAAATGCTGGCACATATTCTAAATTTTTTCAGTAATCAAATACATTATGCTAATTGCAGTGTCACATATTTGAAATCTCAAATACTACTCACCTTGATAAACAGAATCAACAGTTTTAAAAGTTTTACAAGCTTGTTACATTTTTTTTTTTAATTAAATCAGCTTTGTCACCCTTTAAAAATGACTTTCCAGAATCCCTTCTGTTGCTATGATTCATCTCTCAAAGATCTTTTTTACAGGGCTTCTGAATAACAATAATGGATACCTTTATTTTAGCCTTTAAATTACTTTTACAATGACAGTATTATTTTCCTAGCACCTTCCATCTTTTCACCTATTTTCCACATATAGGTCTTGGGACAAACACACACACTTGTTGGGGGAAACATGCACAATTTTATCTATCTTGCCTTTAATTCTCGCAGGTTTTCCTCATGATTGAATGTAAGTCTGGTTTCCAGGGAATTTTCTACATTTTCCAACCAGCAGCTAAGCTCATCGAGTTTCCTTCTGTAATTGGCTAGCTGCTGATTCTCTCCTTTCAGCCTAAAGAAATGCAGGGTAAAAAACATACCTAGATGAGGAAATCAATAGACATTATCAAGTGGAGACAACTTGATTAAAAGCAGAAGAAAATACACACGTTTATTGAAAAAAACAAGTATCCAGTAAATCTGATGATTCCAAAGTTTTCAAATTAAAATACTACAGCTTGCGACCTTCTGCCACAACAAGGAACACATTGTGCCATTCTCATACTATTTCCAATGGGGAATACTTGATTTTTATTTATTTATTTATTTATTTATTACCAGTGGCAGTCCTAAAGAAATTAGTTTTCCTGATCAAAGGCTTTTCTGAGCCATAAAAAGCAAATTACATTCAAGACCACAGTGTTATTTAAATTTTAAAATAATCTATAAATTTTCATATGTAGTGCAAGAGTAAAAGAATACAGTAACAAAAACATCTCAAGTCAAGTCTCAGCAGCAACTAAGGCCCAACTCCTATAAGCTACTACAGACAACTGCCTGTGAAAATATATGGAGGGAAAATGCTTCATATAAACTCAAAGACGTAACAGGGCTTTGCAAAACAAAAATACTAAGAAAACTCTGTGTGCATTACAGAAGATTGAAAAGAAGAATTGTTTTAGAACCCCCGCTCCCCTCCGAAATAGCTGTCCATCGTGGGGAGGGGAAGGGTGGCTAGTAATGATAGTGCATACTTTTTACATTTCTTTACAGTATATTTTTATCTCTAACTGCACTTGGTCTTCAATCTTGATAAGGCATCTATTTCAATAAAGATAAATGAACATATGTAAGGCTTCACCTCTTACAAAACACATATTTTCCCCACTGTGTTCTTTTTTGGATGGTGGGGAGGGTTGGGTGGAAGGGTCAAGAGATATCCATGATAAACATTTCAGAAGATGTGATCAAATTAATATAAACTAAAAAATAAGAATAACTGTACTTACAATTCAACTTCACCCAGAGAAACTAGCTGAATTTAGCAGTGCTCCTTCCAAGTAATCTAGCTTTTCAATGAAGGCATTTTAAAACAGAAGAAAGTGTGGAAAGGCATTTTTGGTTTATTTGCATTAAGAGCAATCTAACTGACCAGTAGACTACTGATGCTTTTAAGAGAAAGGATGTAGCAATCTGAAAGGGGTCAAAGTCAGGAAAATTCAGACTAACGATGGTATGCAATAGAATCCTACATCTTTTGTGGAGTTCTTCCAAATTCTCCATCATTTCTGTTCAGGCACCCAAATTTCTGATGAACTTATTACCTGAACTGTCTATCCATGACCTCAGTAGTGATTACTTTCCACCGTTTATTTAACCCTGACAGTTTCTCTTGCAGGAAGCTGCCATCAGTAGTAGACAGTTTCTGTATAATTTCTTCCCCAGTTCTGTTCAGTGCTGAAATGCTAGTCTGATGGCTGCTAATTCCCTCTTCAAGTTCCTGTCACAAATACAAATATGATGCAGAATTTTGTTAGTTATCAAAAGTGACTGTGATATGTGGCTTGCAACACTGAGATGAGCCCTTGGTGCATATTATTTTAATATAAAGACCATTTAAAACCAACCGCAATCAACTATGTTAAACTTTAGAAATGACTGCATGTCTGTTGTCGTATCTAGTTCACTTTCCTAATGAATGTCATAAAAGAGGATAATGATGCAGAATAGGCTGCTGAAGACTACTGAAATATAAAAAAAAAGAAATGTACACAGAGATGTTAGCTTTGAGAATCTGCAGTCATGCGTAGGTATGTTTTTTATTATAAAAATATTTAGCATTTTAAACACTGTCTATAGATTGTCTTTTTCACCTATTCTTCTCAGACTGTACATGTAACCTCACAGTATTTTGGCCTGGATAATTACAACATTGCTGCCATGATCTGCAGACATCACAGAAAATTCAGGAAACAAAGGGAAGTCAGAAAGAGTCGGGCTCAAGCTTTCACAATATCCCTAACAACCAGAAAAGGCTTACATTGTTAACACAGACTGCTCTGTGCATCTAGACTAGAGGTGATGATTATTTAAGGAAGAGAAAAGCAATACTCCACAAGAAAACTTCACACAGCTTTAAGAATAAGAATAAAATATAACCTTGGTGGATCATACTTTTCTCCTGTAACACATGGGTATTTAACATTTGGATAACCACTCCTTACTAAGGAAAGGTGTTTCTTAAAAGCCATGCTTTATCCTATCACTCATAAAAATGAAATTAAGATTTTTTGCTAAACACACCAAATGGCTCGTCCATCACAGTGATTCATGAAGAGAATTAGGAAATGTTGATATAGGCAAATCATAAAAAACAAGTTGTGGGTAGAAGGCAAGCACAAAAAAGAACGGATTCCTCCAACACAGCATTATAGCTGTTCTACTTATTTTAAAAGAATAAGCAATTATAGAAGCATATATTAATGTTCAGAACCCAGATGAAGCTTCACATAAAGAGCAGCCAAACAAAGAAGGCAGGATCAAAACTGAAACCCACCAAAACTAGAACTCACCAGAGCAACATATTATAATATATAAATTTATAACCTTTTAAAAAAAAAAAACAAAAAAATACTTTCAACAATACAATGAGAAAAGCTATTTTTATTTAACGTATTTTTTTCAGTGTAACTTCAAAGGATGACCATAATTTCAAATATATGCATTGTACCTTATACATTTGTAGGCAAACATCAGAATTCAGTGGAAAACATTTTGCCAGCTTGCCAGTACTTTGTATGAATGCTACATACCTGCTGATGCATCCCAGCTGTTTCCAAATCCAGGCTACCATCTGGTGTATGGGCATCAGCCAACAACACTTCAGCTTCTGTTATCCACTGTGTGAGGTCATTTAGTTCACAATGAAACTGTCTCCATTCTTCAACTGCCCTATCAAAACAGCTGTTTGGAAATAAGAAAGGGTTTCAAAGTTATCTAGACTAGTTTAGGGGGGAAATTGGGATGCATCTCCCATTTATATTTAAGGATAGTTAAATCATAAAAACTTGCTTTACATATCAGAAAGGCTTGTTAACCACTCCTTACTAAGGAAAGGTATTTCTTAAAAGTCATGTTTCAGTCTATTGCTCTTAAAAATTAATTTAAAGGTTTAGAATAGAAAGGCTATTTAACTAAGTTCTGTATATTTAAGAGTTCCTGGCATTGCACTGATAGTGAAAGCCAACTGTACAAACTGACATTGCTTTCTAACTGAAGGAAATAAGGGCAGGCTAACGAAACTTTGGTTTCCATTACTTCGAAAATAAAGATTGATTAGCTGCAACAAATTGGTCTGCAGACTTTTTTTTTTTTTTTTTTAAATAAAATAGTTCAAACCTCAGTGGGCGTGAAAAATGAAATATGATTAATTGCTCAACTTGCTTTTTTGCTCATAAACCATAGTTTCCTGCTGCCAGAAGTCTTAATGAGTGAAGCTGATCTTGATCACATGGTACTCATGTTACCACTGAATTTCAACTCAACCGAAAATGGTTCTGCATAAGCAGGTCCTACAGAATCTATTACAAAGTAATTGCATATACTGATTTTTTGGGTTTGGTTTGGGTTTTTTTTCTTGGTTCAGTTTTTCTGTTTTGATTTGTTTTGTTTTGTTTTTAAATCATTAACACTTTTGTAACACAATTACTGAGGAGAAAATGCAATTGTTGTCACTGACATACAAAAAGTCAAGTCTAGAGTAACAGTATCGTATTTTTATACTAGTTAAAATGGACAGTAGATATCATTCAAAACAAAAACAAAACAGAAAAAAAAAACTGTGAACTAACTTGGAAATGAGAACACAATGCCATGTTTACAGCTACCTTAGATTTTTCTTTTGCTTAACTTGGCTGTAACTTAACTACTTACTTCTCATCACTACAGACAGACTTGGAGTTCCCCTGGTATAATCAGATACAATCACCATCAAATCAAGTCTGAAACAACTAGTGTTATGTCTCTTTTACTTTATTTATTTGCATTGAGAAATCAAAAGTTCATGCTATGGAGTTACAGCTGATTTTTGCCACCGCTCATGTATTGCCTGTCATGGAATATTTTTAAAATTCCTAACCCCAATCACCTAACCCCAGTTGTCTTCCTGCCTAGAGCAGGGGAGGGCTGAAGCTGAGGATCTGCACGGTCCCTTCCAGATTGCCATTAACAATCTATGAATCTATTAAATGTTTGTTTAACTTAATGGTAACAATAAGTAAAAGTGAATTAAATTTAAAAAAACAAGCTTCCTGATTATTGCTGATTTACTTTACAATTTATACATTCTTTGGACAACTCCCAAAATATTATATCTTAGCTTGATGGGGAAAAAGAGCCAATCTAGGCTGTGGTTTAAAATCAGAACAATTTCTCCCAAATGGTATCTGCAGTTTGGAAATGCAAAACATTTTGAAAATAAGAAAAAGCTCATTTGCATCTTCTTCATCTAAACATACTTAAAACTATATACAAGTATCAATTATTGTTAATCTTTTAAAGGCCAAGGAGTGGGAATACAATATCTGCTTTTTTCCCCTCTATTACACTGTTGACAGCCCAAGAGAAACACTTTTCTAAGAACCCAGGGAACAGCCAGTTCTTCCGAATGGCTTCTTCTCATCAACATGTACAATGATACTTGCATTTAATTTATTCCTTATGAAAACCACAAAAAAAAAAAATCAAGGAACACACCCCCGAAGAAAGATTCCACCATATGTCTAAAGTCCCGGCAGACATTACGTTTGACGTGCAATTAAGGTATTGATGGATGGTACAAGTGTGATTAATATATTAACTGTAAAGTGCCACACATTCAAGCAATGAATATCACCAGAGAAAGAGCTACAAAAATGACAAGCCATCTTCAAATATGTTACTTGCTAAATGCAGAATATCTTTGCCACTTGTTTGAACATGTGGCAAGTTACATATGGGTGATAGTGTTTGGCCTCCTATGCCCCAGAGTGAACAGATTTCTCCCTAGGCGCTACCTGCCATGGGACTTCCCATGACTCATGCTGATCTCTGCTGCTCCAGGCTGCCTCAGCAGAAGTCATAACTTTCCCTAGCCAGACTTCAAAGCTGCTTCTTTGAAGAGCTATTTAGCACCTCTTCCCTGTTAAAACCAGAGTGTAAACATACTCAAAATGCTATGCTTTACTTCCTCCCAGTAGAAATCAAGGTTGTGGAGAGCATTTGTTCTCAGACTGAGCACAGAACAAGATGGAAAGAGAGGAAAAATACATACACAAAAAATCTCATAAAGGAGATTGTCATCTAAGAGAGTTCAACCCCTGCTGTTCCTTCCCCCCTCCACCTTTCATATGGGTCTCCCCTGGTCTGTGCAAGGGTCAGGGGAGCACTTACTTCACCCCAAAGGAGATCAGCTGGTGAACTCAGAGCTTACTTCTCATTAACAGCACAGCTAAAAGGGATGTGAGGGGGGGAGGAATGACAGCCCTTGCCAGCAGCCTCCAGCTCTCCTTACTGATGAGTATTGGCAGAGCAAGTTCCCACAGTCCTTTTTCGCCCCTGGGTAGCCTGGCCTGTGACTATGAAGCAGGTCACATGCTGCAAGTTTCCACTGAGCATTTCCTGTTTCTTGATGACCCCAGGATTAGTTCTTCTTTATTGCCAGTGTGCTTTTAAAAGGGACTTAAGTAGTAAACACATTAGTCATAAATATATCTAGTGTAACTTACTTAATATTTAAATGGCATCTCAAATAATACCATTTTATTTGAAATACCCTTATTTGCTCCATAAATAAGTGGCAGTCCTTATTCTTTGCTTTTTATGTACAACTTTTTAAAATACCAACTTTTTAAACATGAATTAAAATGTCCATTAACAAATGTAAACTGTCAACATGGAACTAGTTTTGCTTTTATTCTATCACAAAAATTATGACTATCTGTAATTCTCAGGCAGACCACAGATTTACATAAACTGTTCTACAAAAGGACACACTTTGTACTTCAGATTTCTCATTATATAAATCAAAATTAAACTGCCTCTGGAATTTTCTATTTTCATTTTTCACCATACAGTTTTACCAACATTCTAATTGTCTAGTATTCTGCACTGAATTTAGAAATTCTAGAATTTCTCTGATCAGTAGATAAAACAATTTCAGACCAAGTACTAGGACTTCTCTCTAAATTTGAGAAGAGATTTAATTAGCAGCTTTCAGCTACCTGAAGAGTACTTCCAGAGGGGATGGAGCTAGACCGCTCTCAGTGGTGGCAGATGACGAACAAGGAGCAATGGTCTCAAGTTGCAGCAAGAGAAGTTTAGGTTAGATATTAGGAAGAACCTTCTCACTAGAAGAATAGTTGAAGCAGGGTACCCAGAGAAGCTGTGGAATCTCCAGCCTTGAAGGTTTATAAGACCCAGCTAAACAAAGTCTTGGCTGGGATCATCTAGTTGGGGATGGTCCTTCTTTGAGTAGGGGGTTGAACTAGAGGACCTCCTGAGGTCCCTTCCTACCCAAATTTTCTATTATTCTACTTCAAAGGCATTTTGTTTCTATTATTCTATTTCAAAGGCATTTTGTTTCAACTTTTACAGTGAAATTTGCGAATGTATTGAATGTACTCATTAAACTTTAAGCTAATTTTTCATTTTTTTGAATCTATTGATGGCAATTAATCCATAGCTTTATTTCATGTTCCAAATATATATATTTTGAACATAATATGGCCAGCATGGAAGCACTCTTACCCACACCTGTCTTGCCAATGGTTGGTAAATTTATGGACAGACTGTAGAAAACCAGGGCTAAAAATGCCTATTCATAAAATACATAAAAAATACTGAGCCCTCCAAAAAAATCTAAACCACCAGAACTTGAAAGAAGCTCCATCACCAGAAGAAAGCTGGATGCAAAACACTAAAAGACAGAGGGCAGAGCAGTGCTACTTGGTATCTGAGCAAGATACCAAGGATCTTGGAGTCATCA